GCCGGCGCAGGTGGCTCACGCCTGTAAATCCTAGTACTATTGGAGGGCTGAGACCAGCAGGGTCACTTGCTTGAGGTTAAGAGTTCAAGACCAGTCGTGGCCAACATTGGATGAAACCCCATCTCTAATAAAATTACAAAAAAAACAAAAAAAAAAAAAGCCAGGTGGGGTGGCACGCTTGTAATCCCAAGCCACCTCAGGAGGCTGAAGGCGTGTGAATTGGCTTGAACCCAGGAGAGCGGAGGTTTGCAGCGGAGCCAAGATCCACATTCACAGCACTCCAGTTTTCTGGAGGTGATCAGGTGAGATTCTGTCTCAAAAAAAAATTGTCTCAAAAAAAAAAAAAAAAAGAAAAAGAAAAAGAGAAAGCCAAGGCAGAGATTGGAATAATCAACCCATGCATGAGACTAATGAATGCCTGGAGGCACCAGTAGCTGGAAGGAAGGAAACTTCAGAGGGGGTACGACCCTAATTTTGGACTTCCAGCCTCCAGAAACCTGACAGAATAAGTTTCTGTTGTGGCGGGGTGCAGTGGCTCATGTCTGTAATCTCAACACTTTGGGAGGCCAAGGTGGGAGGATGGTTTGAGTCCAGGAGTTCAAGACCAGCCTGGGCAACAGAGTGAGACCCTATCTCTTAAATAAAAAAAAAAAAAGGCCAGGAGCGGTGGCTCACTCCTGTAATTCCAGCACTCTGGGAGGCCGAGGTGAGCATATCACTTGTGGTCAGGAGTTTGAGACCAGTCTGACCAACATGGTGAAACCCTGTCTCTACTAGAAATACAAAAATTAGCCAGGCGTGGTGGCGCGTGCCTGTAATCCCAGCTACTTGGGAGGCTGAGGCAGGATAATCAGAATCCGGGAGGCGGAGGTTGCAGTGAGCGGAGATTGCGCCATTGCACTCCAGCCTGGGCGACGAGCGAAACTCCATCTCAAAAACAACAACAACAACCAAAAAAAACTGTCCTTTTCTTTCTTTTTTTTTTTTTTTTTGGCCGTTTTCAGTGCAGCTGGGCCTTTCCCAGCTTGAGGCGGCACGCTGGCCACATCTCAGGGCGGGCCTCACGGCCCAGCTTCCCTGCTGTGTGCCAGGGGTCCCTGCCGATGGGCCGGAGCAGCGTCCAATAGTTGGCAGACAGCGTGCTGCTGAGGCAGGGGATGCTGCCACACAAAATGCCCGGTAGAGCTGGGAAGCAGGGCTGGGATGGGGCTGGGCCCCAGGATGCCGCGGCACCCGTTGGGGAGGGGTTTCGGTTTTCCAAAAGGGGAGCAGGTAATTTCTTCTTTTCTAAATTTTAACTTTGTGAGAAAATAATTTTTAGAAGCAAAATGATTAAGAAAACGTGGCATGGTCTTTGGAAGGAAGCTGTTCTGACCCAGGCTGGGATATTTTCCTTTTCTTCCCTTTCATCCATTTTTTGTTGCATCTAAGAAGGGAGGAAGCGGGCTGGGCACAGTGGGCTCACCCCATAATCTCAACACTTTTGGGCCGGCCCAAGGCAGAGGAGGATCACTTGAGGTCAGGAGTTCCAGAC